TTCTTATATGATCACGAAATTCTTAGTTATGTAACTACCTGTTCAGTTCACTCTCCATAATATTCCCTTGCTATTTTTACAACTTACAAATGATGGAAGATGTTCTCTATATAATATTTATTCTAAACCATTACCAAAGTGATCATTAATCTGCTTGGCAACTGCAATCGGTATAAAAAGGGAAAGTAATATCTGCAACATGAACCAAGGCGTTCATTTTTCCTTGTGCTATTAATTGTTCATAGTTAGGCTACTAACTCCTACTTTCAAGTCCAAGTATAAATTTCTTCTATTCCTTTGCTTTTACAACAGATCCATTCACAAAAAATAGATGTAAAATGATGTGGAGGTCCCTGATATTCTTTTCTTTAAAGTCCCCCCCAATGGTATTTCAAAATATAATCTTCGATGCTGAGGTGCTATTTCTTTCCAATTATTACCTTTTACCAGACTTGCAATGAATTATCTTCCTCAATATTTCCTTTAAACCCTGATATTCCAGATTAAAAGTAATTACCACTGTTACAAAGTTTCTATAATTTATCGCAAAATTAGTTTAAGGAAAATTAATATACGATTAGAAATAACCAGTCTTTCCTTTGAATAATGGAAACAGTCTGCAGGGAAAATTCATATTGTCTCACTACATAATCAGGTCTCTTTTCTCCTTAGCCAGAAATAGGTAAGTGCATCCCACTTTAAAATAAAAACTAATAGCTGTTAAAGGCACAAACACATTTGCACATCAAGATGAATATTTCGTGGCTCTGCACATGGCGTGCAACACAGCAGCGACCATTGTATGCTAATTATGTCTCACTTGTGGTCCGGATAGGCAATACACATCCTGAAAACAGGAATGGTTTTGCTTAAGTAACAGCTAGACTTGTACAACTTCAAAAGGAAGGAAAATTATTTATAACCACTTAGATGATTCACCTTCAAACTCACTGTAGATTTTGCAATCACAAAACACTTTGGTTTTACTGGGTATAAAGGGTAAAGAATAAGTATGTTTATTTTAAAACTTCAGTTTCCGCTGAAATTGCAAATGATTTTTCAATAAAGTATTTTGAAGCATAGGAACAGCTATTTCAGATATATAGTTTCCAAGCAGAACACGTTGCTAATTAAAGGACAGTATGATAAATATACCTTCATTCTGAAATGACTTTGAGTAAAAAAGTCTGCATATCACCTCACATTTCATTGCCAAATGAAGTTACTGTATTCATAAAATGAAAATGATCAAAATAATTCTAATTCCCATGCATTTTCATGAAATGAGTTCACAAAGAACCTATTCTTCTTTCTTTTTATACTGTACTGAAATAACAGTTTCCAAGAGCAAAGATTCAGGATCTGTATTTCCTTATCTGTCACCTTGCAAGGAACTAGAGAAAAAAAAAAGACTTTAAAAAAAATCCATATAATTAAATACATAACTTTTAAGATACAGTGGAATCTTACAAGATTCAAATTTCCACCATAGTATGTAGAAAACTGTGGTTATTTGGAAGGGATTCTTTATTGCTTATATCTTCTGCTACTCTGATGCCCTTCCCTGTCATTCCTGATGCTTTTACAGACTTAAGCACCACCACCACCTCACCGTGACGCTAAATAGTTGATACAAAAGACAAAGCAAAATGAATTGCTTTGCCTAACCCATTTCCCCCTCGCCCTGCCAGAGCTGTGACAACGCTACTTCACAGGCTCTTTGGCCAGAGTTCCCGGTTAGCCCCTCACTGCCACAACAGCAGGACAGGAGACGGGTGCCGTGTGTGGCATTGTGAGCATCCTAGAAGAGGAGGTTGTGAGGATGAAGACAGCCCTGTACTACATGGTGGTAGTGGAAAACAAGGTGGTCCCAATGCCAGTGGACCTTTGAAATTAAGCTGTCCTTTTAGTCCGGTGCAGTTCCCTCTTGAACATTTTCCAGAACATTCCTGGGAGTTCTGGAATAACCCCAAATCCCACCCAGCCTGATCCCACCATGGGGTAACAGTTGTTCCAGCACAGCCTGGGGCCCAGCTCCCATGGCAGTGGTTGAGTGGGGACAGTCTCAGGACAAGCACATGTCACTGCTTGCCCAGCTGCAGCTTGGCCTTGGCTGCCTGGGAGCCAACAGCAAGGGTGGCCTTGGGGGCAGAGGCTGTTGAGGGTGGCAGCTGCTGGGGATGGCGGCTGTTGGGGATGGCGGCTGTTGCAGGTGGCAGTTGTTGGGGGTGGTGGTTTTGGAGGTCAGCAGTTGTTGGGAATGGTAACTGTTGGAGATGGAGGCTGTTATGGATGGTGGCTGTCAGGGACGGTGGCTGTTGGGGGTGGTAGTTGTTGAAGACAGTGGCTCTGGGGATCAGCAGTTGTTGGGAGTGGCGACTGTTGGGGATGGCTTCTGGGATGGTGGTTGTTGGGGTTGGTAGTTGTTGGGAATAGTGACTATTTGGGATAGTGGCTGTTGGGGAAGACAGCTATTGAGGATGGTGGCTGTTAAGAATGGCAATTGTTGGGGATGACTGTTGTGGATGGCAGCCATTGTGGTCAGCGTCTGTTGGGGGTGGCGGCTTTGGCGGGAAGGCGCCGTTGGGTAG